GTGAGCCACCGTGCCTGGCTCTCCAGCAGTCCTCTTGCCTCAGCCCCCCAACTAGCTGGGACTACAGGTGCTCACCACACTGTCCGGCTATTTTTTCTTTTTTTTTTTAGGAGACGGACTCGCTCTTGCTCAGGCTGTCTTGGAATCCACCCACCTCAGCCTCCCAGAGTGCTAGGATTACACCACCACACCTGGCCTTCCTCATTGTTCTCTTTCTGCGTTTTCGGTTTCTCAATTTGTGATGACCAGACCCCCTCGATACCCCACTGAGATCAGTGTGTGTGTGTGTGGGGGGGGAACAAGCCTCCTACCCTTGAAAAGGAAATTTCTGCTGAGCCTCTAGTCTGAGAAGCAGTCTGAAATTAAGGAAGTATGCAGGGAGCAGTTGAGCCCTTGATGGAAAGTCCCCAGTTCCTTGGAAACTTTCAAATTTGTGTTGAATTATGTACCCCCGGTTTGTGCCCCGTGAACTATGTGACCCCTATCTTGTGATATATGAGTTAATGTACCTTATGACCCAAGAGGTAATATGTACCCTGGTTTTAAATTTTGTAACCCTTAATGTGATTTGCTTATATAAGCTAAATCAGCATGTACTCCCACCCTGAGTTGTGTACCCTTCATGAACTAATGTATGTACCCTTGCCTTGTCATCCTTGAGTTGTGCTGAGTTGTTATGAGCTAATGCATGTACCTTTACCTTGTGACCTCTGAGTTGCTGAGCTGTACTTGCTTCAGCAAAATTTGCAGTATATAAACCCTTTGTATATGCCACTCGTGGATGCTTGTTGGCCCACCACAACAGCCCCCTGTAGGTGCACCTGCAGGTGTATTAAATTCTTAACAAATTTCTATTAATTAATTGCATCTGAAGTGGGGTCCAAATTTCTCTCCACTGTGTGGGATCATTACATGTTGCTCTCTGTTTCTCACGACCCACTTTAACCACATATTCACAGGGAGGGATAGAGAAAGACACTGCCTCCCCAACAAGCATTTCCCAGGGGCATGGAGCTGGGGTCATAAGAACACAGGATGTCACAAGGCAGGCCCCGTCACCTCCCGAATAAGCAAAGGGTCGGGGGAGCGCTGACTGTGATGGGGAGGTCTGGGGAGTTGGAGGATCAACCTGAGGAGGACAGAGACGGGCACGGGGATGGCGCCTCAGAGGCCTGCAACCAGCCTGGGGGTGCAGCCTCCTCTGGGGCAGAGAAGGGCAACGGTGGGGTCCCACTCAGGATGTGGACCTACCTAGTGGGTGAGGAGAATCAGTACACTACGTGGTGGGAGAGTCATTAAAGGGTTTTTAGCAGGAGGAAGGGACTGTGTTTACCCTGTTCTAAGGTAGAAAGATCTAAGCAGACCAGGCTTAGAGATTTTAACCCAAAGGGGAACACTCCCAGGTGCACACTGTGAGGTCTGGGTTTACCTGCGGTGGAGGGGATGGTATGGGGATTTTGGGGGCCAGAATGACTCCTGAGAAAAATGCAAGTTTAATCTCACTAGGGGGAAGTCTTTGCCCCACGCAATCTGCTTCTGGGATTGCAAGTGCAAACCCAGCACCAGCCTGCTAAACAACAATGACAGCTGCAACAAAAAAATATCCAGGCGTTGTGGTGGGTGCCTGTAGTCCCAGCTACTTGGGAGGTTGAGGCCAAAGAATCACTTAAGCCTGAGTTTGAGGTTGCTGTGAGCTCTGATGCCACAGCACTCTACCCAGGGCCCCAGCTTGAGACTCTGTCTCAAAAAATAAAAATAAAAATTGCGCCTGTAGTCCCAGCTACTTGGGAGGCTGAGGCAAGGGAATAGCCTAAGCCCAGGAGTTGGAGGTTGCT